GATTTTATGGACGAAATGCGTGAAATAGACCAACACTGTAATTATATATAAAGGTTTGGGACTTCAGCCGCAAAAATTAAAGGTTTGGGACCAGCGCTGCAATTTTTTCTAGTCAAAATTACTGTTGAAACGTTGACTAATGATTTTATGGACGGAATTAAGGCTTGGGACCGACGCTGCAACTACATATAAAGGTTTGGGACTTCGACCGCAAAAATAAAAGGTTTGTGTGTAATCTGCAACAAAATAAAAGGTTTGGGACCACGGCTGCAATTTTCCCTATACCTAAAGTTGGTCCAAGATAGTAGATCCGAAGTTGGTCCATGATAGGAAGCACAATGACCGAAGCCCACATATAATGGACTACGTCTTCCATCCGAAGTCCTTTTGCCGAAGCTCCCCAAGCTTCCAATGGCTTCGGATTGATGACGGTCTCCAAGAAAAATCCATTGTGTAAGGATCTAGTGAAAGAGCAATATGTGACAGTCTGCAGCCCAAACAAATCAAATCCTGTCCACCTACTGACACAGGCTATAGGGCGGCTCCCTTTTCCAGACATTCGAGTACAACCTAGGACAAGTGAATGATAAGACGTCTATGATGAGAAGTCCCAGTGGGTCGGATGAAGCCACGTGCGTTTCATCCAACGGTCATGACTTTAATTGTGACACTATAAATATCCCATCTTGTATCATTTTTAAGCCTAATGCAATTCCAAATACTTAAAGTTTCACCTCTGTCTAGTTTTTCATATGCGATATTACTTGCTTGAGTGTTGGAGTTTGATCTAAAATATTTTATCTTGTTATCGCGTTGATTCAATCCCGGAGCTCAAACACTTTGTTGGCTAGTGCCTCGAAGAGTGATTCCTCTTATACGTGGCTTGGTTTCTACTTACATGGATGCAAGTAGGACCAAATTTTCCGTGGACTCATTTCTAGAGGTCAACAACCATATTTCCTAATTAACCCCGAAGAGAATTTCTCCTCAAAGTTCATGATAGGACATGCACCTCAATTTCATCATCTTGAATTCAATGGTTAGCATGTGAATTGTTGAATTATGCTTAGAAATTGAAACCAAAATAAGAGAAGAATTTTCACTTTAATACATATATAAGATATCTTCAATGAGGAATTTTTATAGTATTCTTGAAATATGAAGTACTCGGTGCTCCATGTCACTGGTTAATTGACACTGGTTTTCTTTCTCCCTACTCGAGAGTTTTGGGGTACCAATTATGGAAGTTTTTTAAAGTGTCGATTTTAGGTATTTACGAGTGTCAAGTTTTGAGTGATTTTTAGTAGCAATTTTTAAAATGATCAAACTCATACTTGGGAATTTATTATCCAGGGATTTTGAGAGTTTTTAAAAAATAAAATGGCATATATGTCTTTTAGTGACATTTTCAATTTTTTTTTTTATTTTTTGTATGAAATTTTTTACTCACAAGTAATATTTTACTTATAACTAATTTTGTTATATATAAGCTAGTTTTTAACTTAAAAAGTGAAATGTTTACTTATAATAAAATTTTTAACTTATGAGTAATTTTTACTTATAATCAAATTTTAAGTAATAAGATAATTTTGTACTTTTAAATTTTTTTTACACATAATCAAATTTTTACTTATAAGTAATTATTATATTTTATAAGTAAGTTGTTGTCTTATTAGTATTATTTTTACATTATTTGTTTTCACACAAAAGTGTATTTAACTATTTATATTATAAATCATTTTTTACTTATAAGTAAACTTTTTAGTTAACAAGTAATTTTTTTGAATAAAATATGTGGATTGAAAATAATTATCTTAATAGAGGGTAATATTGGAAGTAATTTTGAAAAAAGGACCAAAACCCACAAATTTGTGGGTTGAGAAATACGCATAAAATTAGACTACACCGAACCACCCAAAATTAGTGTCCATAAAAACTAACAAATACCGATTTTCTCATCATAAATATCGCAACCTTTAAAAGAAAAGGCCAAAAAAAAAAAAAATTCCTCCCAAGCAGACCCTAAGGTGACAATTCTCCATGCACCCAATAATAAAGCACTCATCATTATTTACCCATCATCAACAAATGCTNAGCCATTTTTCGAGGTCAACAGTACTCTTGAAATATGAAGTACTCGGTGCTCCATGTCACTGGTTCATTGACACTGGTTTTCTTTCTCCCTAAGGGCTTGCTCGAGAGTTTTGGGGTACCAATTATGGAAGTTTTTTAAAGTGTCGATTTTAGGTATTTACGAGTGTCAAGTTTTGAGTGATTTTTAGTAGCAATTTTTAAAACGATCAAACTCATACTTGGGAATTTATTATCCAACGATTTTGAATGTTTTTAAAAAATAAAATGGCATATATGTCTTTTAGTGACATTTTCAAATTTTTTTTTTATTTTTTGTATGAAATTTTTTACTCATAAGTAATATTTTACTTATAACTAATTTTGTTATATATAAGCTAGTTTTTAACTTAAAAAGTGAAATGTTTACTTATAATAAAATTTTTAACTTATGAGTAATTTTTACTTATAATCAAATTTTAAGTAATAAGATAATTTTGTACTTTTAAATTTTTTTTACACATAATCAAATTTTTACTTATAAGTAATTATTATATTTTATAAGTAAGTTGTTGTCTTATTAGTATTATTTTTACATTATTTTTTTTCACACAAAAGTGTATTTATATTATAAATCATTTTTTACTTATAAGTAAACTTTTTAGTTATCAAGTAATTTTTTTGAATAAAATATGTGGATTGAAAATAATTATCTTAATAGAGGGTAATATTGGAAGTAATTTTGAAAAAAGGACCAAAACCCACAAATTTGTGGGTTGAGAAATACGCATAAAATTAGACTACACCGAACCACCCAAAATTAGTGTCCATAAAAACTAACAAATACCGATTTTCTCATCATAAATATCGCAACCTTTAAAAGAAAAGGCCAAAAAAAAAAAAAATTCCTCCCAAGCAGACCCTAAGGTGACAATTCTCCATGCACCCAATAATAAAGCACTCATCATTATTTACCCATCATCAACAAATGCTAAAATCATAATTATGAATTATATGTAAATGGATACATCCCTCGTGTATTAATGACAAAATAAATACGCAATAATATCAAGGTTTGAGTTTTTGTTCTTAACAACTTGTTGACTTTTTAAAATAAAACTCCAAATCATAATAAAATGCCAAAGTACATTTAAATCTAGTCATCAATTCGATTCAACTAAGACTTAAACGAGCCTTTATATGGTGCCAAAGTGCAGAGGCCTTTACATAGGCAGATCCACACGAATGAAGAGACACGTGTTATAAGATTAGCAAGGAATTGAAGAACACGTCGAGAAAAATTCTCTAAGAACAAAAGGACCTTGTTGCCATTTTTCACATGGCGCCCACCCCTCGTTTACATGGGGGAGGTCGAGGTCATCAATTTGTGGGTGGCCGCTAAATGTGGCCACCTCGTTACGAGGGTCGTCGACTCTTCCTCACAATTGAGATTGGCCACCTTATGAACAGTCTCGTGTTCATTTTTATTATTATCATTATTACCATTTTCTCATGGGTAGTCGTGATCATACATTTGCCATGCTCATGGTTTAAGTTTGAGGACAATCGAGATAGTTAATAACCAGACTATCATTAGATATCGTTGCTAATAGTATTTTTATGTTCTTGTACTTCATTTTTTTATGATTTTTTTATTTTTTTTGACAAATTTTACTATCGAATTACCGAGACATATGATTATGTTGTTAAATCTATTGGTTGATAAGTATATGGCGGTTTTCAATATTTGAACTAAATTTGTTATTCATCAATAAATTTATAAGTTAAGCAGTATTTAACATACATACATACATACATATATATATATGTCCATCACCACTTTCAGAGATAGAAATCTACAATCGCTTTCATTTTTCTTTAATGAATATTCAACTTTGCATTAAACATCACTTATCTAACTTTTCCATCCAAACCCAATTTATTAAGTACTGCCCAACTACCAAGCCACCGCCTATAGCCTTTCTTGCCACCCTTAACTACAATTGCATGGTCCCTTCTCACTATTATAACTAAAGGATATGTCACTTTATCTTTATAGTAATTTTGATTTAAACAGGTGGTTGCCTCTATTTGCTGTACCTGCACTGGCTCATTTAAGGAAAAAGAAAAGCTTTCTTGCATGTAGCATTAATGGGGTTGGCTGAAATTTTTAATTACTTTTCTCAATCTAATGCATTCGAAACGAGTCCATTGGCCTGGGAAGGGTTCGCTCTTACCACTTCAACTAAGCCTTGACCTCTGTAAAGATTGCTACTGTTTTCACCATATGAACTCAAAGGACAAATGGACAATTATAAATATTGAATTTACAAACTCTATTTCAGGTTTCAGGAAACGATAACTTTTGTATCTTCATTCATTACAAACATTCTGAACCGGTACATGAAATATTATTGACTAACATTCATCTGAGAGTATTCAGAAATTGTAGTCAATTACATCTTTATATAACATTTATCTTATATGCAATCTAAGAGTAAATGCATGCAGAATTATTATTTTTTTTTGCAGACATTTGGAAGAAAAAAAAAAAGTTAAACCCAAACTTCCGATATATATGGCTGAACTAATTTAGAGCTTCACAATTTCTGGGATGTGCACTGGGTACTTATCAATGCAGTCTTGCCATGGTCCATCAGTTTTTGTGCTAATTGTGCGGTTGCATTTCCAAACAGCACTGTTACATTTGAATCCACTTCCAAAAGCTATTTGCCAAATTCTGTCACCCTTTTTCATCCTTCCTTTGGCCTCAATGTAACCCAACTCGTACCATAACGAAGACGAGGAAGTGTTACCGAATCGATGTAGCGTCATTCGTGAGGCCTCGACGTGCTCAGCAGACAACTGAAGGTTCTTCTGGAGTTCATCAATCACTGCTCTTCCACCGGCGTGGATGCAAAAGTGTTCAAATGCTTGTTTGAAATCAGGAATGTATGGTTTCCATTTAGGGTTAAATATTTTTCGACCGATAAGTGTGAAGAGGAAGAGGAGCTGTTCAGAGGCTGGAAGGACTAGTGGGCCAATTGTTGTAATGTTTGATTTTAAAGCTTCACCAGCTATAACCATTAGGTCTTTGGATAGATTAATCCCAACTTTTCCCTGTGGATCTTCTTGTTCATACACACATTTATAGGCCTTATCGTCGGCGCCTTTGTGAGTTCGAACGACATGGACTAGTCGGTACTTGGCTCGACTTCGGTCCCTCCTCTTGTTGGATAGAAGAATTGCAGCACCCCCCATGCGAAACAAGCAATTGGGAAGAAGCATTGCTCTTTCTGAACCTTGATAATAGTTGGGAGTAATGATTTCTGTACTTACAACAAGAGCATGTGAATTGGGATGAACTTGTAAAAGGTCTCTAGCCAAATCAATTGATATCAAACCAGCACTACACCCCATGCCAGAAAGATTGTAACTCTTTATATTACTCCTCAATTTGTACTTATTCACAACCATAGCAGACAAAGATGGGGTTGGAGAAAAGAGACTGCAGTTCACAATAAGAATATCAATATCTTTAGGCTTGATCCCAGTTTTCGCCATCAATGAATCGATAGCTGAGAAAATAACCACCTCGGCCTCGCCCCTAGCAGCTTCCATTGTTGGAGTCGGAGGAATATAATGAATGGCCGGAGGCAAACACGTCTCTTCTCCAAGTCCTGAGCGTTCAAGAATGCGCATTTGGAAGTCAACGCTCTTTGGATTATCCTTAAGGATTAGCCGAGAGTGCTCCATAAATGTCGAGAAAGGTACTCGACAAGTTATAGGAGGCTTATAACAAGCGTAATCAACTAGATATATCGACCGAGGCTTGGACATAAAGTACACAGTTGCTATGAAAATGATTAGAAATGATGAACACAAGACTTGGACAAGATCAAAATGAAGTGATCTCCAAATGTTAAGCATTTCTTCAGGGCCTAACCGCAGGATCTCGACAAGAATGCCCACCATAATTGGTATAAGAAAAAAAGTTAGAATATGATTGACAAGATACTGGTAGCCAAGCTTCACATATTTGAGTTTAACAGAACTTGAGAAATTTGGCAAAATTTGTGGCATTTTTAGAAGGAAGAGAAATACAGAGGGTTGAAGTTGGATTTGGGAGAGGAAGAGGCGGAGAAGAAGAGGAATTTAAAGAGTGAGAAATGAATGAAGGCAGGTAAGAGAATTAAATGAATAAGTTCATGTCACACAACGCTCCCTTAGCTGGATTTCTTTTGTATTGTAATATACTAATTTCGTAAAGCCATAAATTTTATTTAATAATGCATTTACTAGTTTCGTTTTTTCAACACTGACTTTCTCTTTTTCTTTGGAGGTAGTGCAATTTTTTGTTTCCAAGCAAATTATTTCTGATTCTAAACAATAAGAACTTTGACTGACTATTGGAATATAAGCTGTCTCAGATACGACGACCGATGTACTCTAAGGCTGTGTTTGTTGTATCGAGTTAGTCCGTATAAAAAATTTAGTTTAAAATTATAATATATATTAATACGTAAGGATATTACGGTGTGTTAAAATAAATAATATTATTAAACTTTTCATTCAAAAGAATGTCATTTTACCATATCTTCTTTTATTGGAACTAAACCCGCCTTTAACCTTTGCAACGTGTTATATATATTATTGATAGTGCGATTATTTTTTTAAGGAGAAATTGTAGTAACGGTCCCTAACCTTTTCAATTTTTATAAATTTTACCTTAACCTTCAAAACCTTCAATTTGTGCCATCGAGGTCCCTAACATTTCATAAATATGCAACTGAAGTCCAAATGGACGAAAACCGTCCATTTGACAGTTAGTTGATCAATATTTTGTAAAAAAAATTGATATTTTGATCATTTTAAGCGGGGACATTTAACTATATTTCCCTCTCCCATCATTAAACATTTTGAAAACCTAAAAACCCAACCCATCTCTATCTTTAGATTTGATGTTGTTCAACCGTGAATATGCTAGCCTAGAATTGGCGAGACTACCGACGGTAAGGCACGACCATGGGTGTGACTGTAGGTGGTGATTTGTGCATTGTGGCCATCAGCTAGGGAAGAAATTCCGACGAATTAGGTGGCCAACGGTTTTTCTGGATTGGGTGGCCGTCGACTTGTGTTGATTTTGATCTTTTGTGATTTTTTATTAAATCTTTTTCTAAATTTCTATAGATATTCGATAGTCCTTTCTAGAATCTGGTTTTCAAATGTTTTCTAATTTTGATGTTCGATGGTTTTCCTTTCCATCGTGTTTTAAGTTCTTCCTCTTCACAATGGAAAATCTGGGTGTGGTGATAGCGGCGGAAATTTGTTTATAGTGAGATAGGTGGCTGTGGCCAGTTGATTGGTCGGCGATGGTAAGTTTTCTGGATTCGGTTTTGGGGTGGGTAGGGGTGAAGAAGATAACTTTTTTATTTGAATTTTGTTTTTGATTTAATTATCCTTTATTATATAATTGTATTTATATTGCAAAATATAATGTTGTCATGGAATTGATGAAAATGTCCCTATCCATTTAGACCTCAACAGTATATTTATGAAAGGTTAGGGACCTTCGTTGGCACAAATTAAAGGTTAGGGTAAAGTCCAAAAAAATTGAAAAGATTGGAGATCGTTGTTGCAATTTTCCATTTTTTAAATAAATAGTGAAGACAATATACATATTTAACCACCATAATTAGGGTTGGACAGAATGTCTAGACCAAATGAAACCAAGCGGTTGAGTTCGGTTCTATCAAAAAAAAAAATATTTTTTATTCTTTGAATCGAGAACCATTTAATTTTGGTTCTGATTCGGTTATAGTTCAAGATTCAGAACCAGAACCAGAACCAAACTTAGTATTTAATTTTATATATATTAATTAGTGGATACTCTAATTTATATTCATTGGAGATAGCCCATTAATTGAATACAGTTTGTTAATCGATTTTGGGTCATTAGAGACGGACAGCTCATTAGTTCCTTACACACTAATTTTGTATTCAGTTGAATCATTTCTCTTTCACTCATTTTCAATTTACACAACGTCGCGGCTTGCTGGTACTGTATTTCATCAAGTCAATGGAGTGTCATTTAAGATCGAAAAATGAAATTTGTGAGTTACTTAAAAAGTCTTTAAACTATTTTTTCACCTTGATTATTTGATAAGTTATTTGTGTTTTCACAAATAGAGGAAACCCTAATAAACATTCATGAAATAGTAAAACGGTTAATGCTGCCTATAAAAGTGGACTGTAAAAATTTTGATAATTTATTCGTTATTGTACGGGGGTGCCTTCAAAATTGCTGCAATTAATTTAGTGAATCATTGCTATTACTTATTAAACAATTGTTTTGTAAGAGAACGAAAACTAATTTGTGTATTCAAGTTATGAATATGTTATGTTTGTTTGTTATGATTTTTTTGATCTCGATGATTGAAATTTGAACTTCCTGAATGTTTGATATTTATTTTTTTATTTAGGTATATATTACTAACTTATATGATGCAAATATGAAAATTTAATAAATGAAACTAGAACCAAATCAAAACTAAACGGTTCGGTTCGGTTCCATATCTTTAAAAAAATCATTTTGTTCTATTATCAGAAAGACCATTGATTCATGATTCGATTCAGTTTTCATGGAACTATAACCAAATAGAACAATGTCCACCCGTAACTATAATACTATCTATGTAGTACCATTCATCATAATTTTATACTAGAATTCTTATACGGCTTATTTCAATGTGCCAATAGTAACCTAATGATGATTTTTTTTTCATGCTTTTGGGTGGCGGTGGGTTGTGAAGAGATAAATCACATTATAGTTGAAATAAATAACCAAATATATAAATGATTTAGGTTATTTATCTTAATAAAATTGATATTTTAAAACCGTAAGTCTTAGCCCTTGTTTGATAGCATTCATTTTATCATAAACCCATGTTTTTTACCGCAGCTGCGGCCTAAATATCATGGTGTGTAATCATATCACTTCAAATCAATTTGTTTTTTCCCAAATCTACCCTCCAAATCGATTTGTACTAGTAAATTAGACTTGTGTCATTCAAGATAGCGATGAAAAATCAAATTCTCAAAGGAAGTCTGCATGAAAATGAGAAAAATGATGTGAGATGGATTAATTAATATTGTCAAACGGGGGCACATTTTGTACGCACAAGAGTTTTTATATTCTAATGAAGGTGAGCTACTCCAACCCATGGTTGAAAGCACAATCAGTCAAGTGGTTAAACTAATGCTTCAGACTCGCATTGCATATCGAACACTAGAAATCAAATCCTAGCTAGTTACAACTAACATGTAATTGTAGAAATTATAATAGTCGGAGCTTAAACCTTTTTCATTAGTAAAATCGTACACGTTACCAAACAAATTATTAATTATATCAAACATTATTAATCCAATTAGAATAGACAAAAAATGTAAGGTAGATGTCAAAATATGATTGTCGACTTCACATAATAGTATTGGGAAAGAAGTTAATATGCCTCTACTATTACGGCGACAATAAGGTCCGTTTAATTGTAAAGGTGGAAAATGGGTGGAAAGAAAATGTTTTACAGAGAATTGATTTATCTAGAAATTATTTTACTGGGAATTTTGTAATTAATGGTGTTTGAATGGTATAATTTTTCATGAAAAATATTGAAAGTTTGGTGTCCGTTTGACTTCTTTTTTTATGAAAATTGTTCATTAAAGTGATAATTTTTTATACCATTGGGTCTAGAATTTGTTCCAATTGCCAAAAAAAAATTGAAAAAACAATTACTATACCGAATGCCATTCGTTTGTATTTGTTTTTCATGAAAATTGTCAATAAAAGTGATAATTTTTTTACCATTATGTCTATAATTCTTTCTAATTGCAAAAATAAAATAAAAAAAAAACTTGGAAAATATTTGTCAACCAAAACATCAAGAATTTGTTTTCCTCAAAAAGGTGAAAAATTTGGAAAGTTGAAAAACATTTTTTCCCGGAAAAATATTGTTCATCAAACACTACAAAAGTTGAAAAATGGAAAAAAAAAAATTCTATTTTCCATAGAAAATATGGTATATCAAACGGAGCCTAAAGTGTTAATTTTTTATTATTATTTTAATTTATTTGTCTTCTTAGTATTTATTTTGGCAAAGTTCTTGTGAGTATTTCAATAAACTCTCTATTTTTAAAAAGCATATTCTATATTGTAGAGCGTATTTATTAATTCAGAGACTAAAAAAATCGTTGAAGTACCTAACATTTAATTTTACTACTAAAAAAATATTTATTAGTTTTCCCTATCTTTTATTTTCACTAACTTTTCTCTAAATTATTATATTATTTCTTTCATTAAAAATTGAAATATTTTATCTTTTATTTTCACTTACTTTGATTTAAATTATTATATTATTTGCTTTCATTAAAAATTGAAATATTTTGAATATATTTTATTATAGATGGTGGGTTTGGCTCTCTCAAAATTAAAATGTTAAATTAATGAGTTTCTTGAAACATGATTTTATGGGTTAATTTTTCCAAATAGAGAGCGTCTTATATTTAAAGAGTCACTTGGAGATGACGCACTATAGGGTTTTTTATTTTCCTGCCATTTAAACATTGATATATTGAATAAAAACGATGAGTTTCTCCTAATCATTGATCGGTAATATGAAGATTCAATGATCCATTATTGAATTCACATGCTTCATCTGTGTCAGAAAGCCTGGAAATTTTGTACACGAAGTGAAATAATTTTCGATTACATTAATGTTGTCTTCTTGGTTGACTCATTTAATAAAGGAGTCGAGCATAAATAGTAACCCTCTTCTATTTTATTATTTTTATTTATGAATATGATGCATTGTTTGAATTTTTTTATTTTACGTTCTGAAAAACTTAAATGGCCGGAGATCCCTTCTCCGATTCGTGGCTAATTTTTTTCATTCCCGTCCCCGTTCTCGTCCCATCCTGATTGAGTCAAGAATTCCTCACCTCCCTTTGTCATTTTCATCCCATTTTCGGATGAAGTCGAAAATTTCTTACCCTATTGCTATCCTAAGATAAACCCAATGATTAATTGC